AGAAAAATTCAATAAATATTCAAAATATTCAATTAAAATCACTACTGAATTTAAGTTATTAGTCCATATGTAATTAGCACTTGTAAGTAACTAAAACACGTTGTGGCTATATAGAAACTAGAAACATGTGGATAAATATTATAAATATGAAAACAGTGATCAGAGGCGACGAGCGTGCCAACATTGTTTTTGACAACGCGATCATCTTATGGAGCTCCGTGGATCGTTCAAAGTACCTTTCGAACAGATGTCTAATAATGGTGGATTATTAACCACTAAGTGGTTAATATTCAATTCAATTCAATTCAATTTATTGCAGTCATGTGGTTACATGGATGGTTACAAGTTACAAAATGCATAAAGTACCTAACATGAACCCTGTCAGGGTATCGCAATATAGATAAAAATTACAAAAGAGAATTTAACAAATAAACAATTATCTATATAATGAAGAACCTAATATTTATTAAACAACTTTTTTTTCTCAAAGCATGCATAAATGTCATCTGATTTCATTAATTTTATAACTTACTCAATTGATCTTATTTACAGTACTAGTTTAATTTTGTAATTATTATTATGGAAATTCTTTTATAAAATTAAATTTGTCAATAATTAAAATTAAAAAATATGTCCACCATTATTAGATACTAACATTCATAACGCGCCCGCGGCCAACTTCATGGTGTTACTATTGTGTTACAGTGATGCGCGCGTATCTCGAAATTTCAATCACATGATTTTTTCATAACGCGCCCGCGGCCAACTTCATGCTGTTACTTTTGGGTTACAGTGATGCGCGCGCATCTAAAAATTTCACTCTCATCATTTTTTCATAACGCGCCTAAAGAAGTATAACTTCAAAAATATTAAACAAAACAGCAATAATGCAAAATGTTCTACATAAAAACAAAACCACTTAAAAATTACAAACTAACATACAGGTCAAACAGAGAACATCCTTTTATTGAAGTCTTTTAAAATGTGGATTTCGTGGAGCATTCAGTTAGAATAAAGTTAAAAATAAATACAACAAGGGGAGAAAAGTGCTGTAAGCGCCTATTATAGTAGGAAAAAACTTCCATACTTGTTTCTCAGGTTTTCAGGCATACTACTCATTAAATAAACGAAGTTTTAACGGTATACACATCACTGCATATGTGCAGCCCTCACTTCGCTTTGGTGTAGAGCTGAAGTGTAGACTACTGTTTTTGTTCTCAGGCTTGTATTATACACAATGATATTCATCTATGATTCTTCTTATACCTGCATGCAAAGTCTCAGCCCGATCGGTTTAAAATTGACAAAGTTTCATACAAACTTTCATTCCCTATTTTATCCCCTTGGGAGTAGAATTGATCAAAATCCTTTCTTAGCGGATGCCTACGTCATAACATCTACCTGCATGCCAAATTTCAGCCCGATCCGTCCAGTGGTTTGGGCTGTGCGTTGATAGATCACTATGTCAGTCAGTCAGTTGACCTTGACCTTTGAGTTTTATATATGTATATAGATGACGTTTCGCATCCTTTTCAGGCTGCGTCGTCTGTGAAGAACTGGCGCAACAAACACAGAGAGACTTTCTATATACTTCTTATGTTAAATCATGCAAAAAGACCAACAGATAATAGTAGTTTTTATTTTGTTTACATAATTTAACATTAGATAAAACTTGTTTTATTCAATGAGTGGTGTGCGTGAAAACCCAATAAACAAATATGGAAGTTTTTCCTACTGTGAGGGGAAGCTACTATAATAAACAAAGTCTTGCCAAGACCAAAATTTTCCAATAAACTGCCATATAAATACCTTAATCTCGCAATTTCGTCGTAACGGAAAAATCTTATAATTTTTTCATCTAGGTATTCGCCATACCGTTCAAAAAGTTCGTTCCAATACTTGTCTATCCTTTGCTTGAATCTAAAAAAAGTTTGTATCTTTTTTTTTTTTTTAGTGTGTATGCTGTTGGTCGCATTTGACCTTTACAGCGTCACCGGGTTTGGGGACGGCGAGATCCTAAGGGGACCTCAAGCCGAGAATTAGCGAATGCCTCTGGAGGTATTCCAATCGGATGGCGTCTCCCCACGGGGGGAGTCTCTTCTCCGTCTGGAGCCTTCAGACCACTCGAACCTGAGGGGGTCGGCTCAACTAGAGGGCGTCTCTGAGACTCAGACCTCGGCTCTAGTTAGCCGTTGTCGTGGGTACTTTGTATCGCACGAGCTATGCGCAAAGGCAAAATCTTCTGAACACGACGGTCTCAGCATTGAGCATCTTAAATACTCTTGAATCCATCCATTCGCGCGTTCTGTCCTTGTTCTACAACTTATTTGAAAAGCTTATTACAAAGTGTCTGATTATATTACAGACAAAAATGCTTGGGTTTGAACTGTTCCAAACATTCCAACAGGTTTTCTATATTAAATGAATCATGATTATGATTGTGGAGTTTTATCGCTCGTTTTTCTCCGCAGCTAAAAAATATGTCCAATAACGAGTGGTAGGGAAAAAAAATTGTACGATTCAACAGAGTTGTACTATACATCCAATTTGAATAAAGATATATTGATTTCTGATTTCTTATGTTTGTATCATGGCTATCCTCCGTATGACATGACGGATAAAAATCTTATACTTTTTTTTCGCCTAGGCATTCGTCGTACCGTTTGAAAAGAAACTTCGATCCAATACTTACCTATTTATTGCTTGAATATAAATTAATCTTGTCTCCTAAATTAGTCTTCCAGAGTTCGTAAAACTAATATTTCATTTCAAACTTAAATCTAATCAAAAATTTACCATTTTCAACACGGGCTTTTCGCTATAATTGGAGTCCTTCAAGGTCGTTATTTATTTACGCTTTTATCGAATCTTAAAGAGCTTTTCACCAGAGAAAACTTGTAATACCCACTTTTGAATAATCGACCGAGTTTCGTCCGATGTTTTACTTCTTTGGGAATTTGTTTTGTTTCATTAGCTGGCGGGATCGATAATAAGTAATTCCGAAGTAATGTTTACGGTTTATTACAACTTAAGGTTTATCTTTCAAAGAGTACACGTCTCGGAAGAGATTGCTTGCTATTTTTACAATAACGCCGCATTTTTACACAATATTCTGCACCTATTAAATGTTATCTAACTTTTGGTAGCTATTGCATAGATTTTATCGCGGGCTTTGAGCGCGGCGACCGAATCAAGAAATTCCGTAACGAAAATAACCTGACAATAGTGAATATGAACACAATTTTCACCTTTCTAGTATCGATCTAAACGGCGCAGTGTGTTAAATTTTTGCCACGGTAGGTACCAACGTTCGACGCATCACCGCGGTCGTCGATTCAAATCCCGCACTCGTATTTTTTATATTATATATTTTTTCTTTTTTTTATATATTTGTTTAAGACCCCAGCACCTGTTCTTATTTTTATTTGTCTCCCTTTAATTAAGACTTTATAATTATAATTTAAATTTTTGGACTAAAGATGGTAAACTGTGGAGCTTGTGGAAGTTTTTTGGCGCCGGGCAATGCTGTTGTTAGCTGTGCTTGCCCAATAAAATATCATAAGGGCCTGCCTCGCCATCTATTATAATATCAAAGAAAAAACTTGAATTAATATTTAAGAAGGAAAAATACTAAATAAATACATAAATAATTATAATTGCATAAGTTGATAAATAATGCTATGCAATAGCTTAACCGCGGCAGTCCCAAAGTGCCACACGTATTTTTTTTTTAAACGGTGGCAACATGCATTTTTGTAGTACCCGCATAATACGATCTTGCAATACAAAAAATTTCACTTGCGCCGTTGCCTACCTTGAGCCAATACCCTAAAGCCTAACGCATGGAGTCCTGGAACCTTACTCACCGACAGAAACAAAACACAACCAAAAGGTACCTAGTGTATTGTCTTCTGCAAGACAGGGGGTTACTTCCCCAGACGGGCACTCTAATTCGAGCGAAAGATTCGCTATGGATTCGCTATGCCCTACCTCTCTAAATTACTTTTTTAACACGACAAAAAATAAATGTAACCCATGTTACTCAGAATGTAAATGGCAACGCTACACAACATGAACGCAGATACATATACTTACACACTAACACACACACACACACACACTCACCGGTTAATGATATACCTAGGTACTTTTTTAACATTATTTTTATATAATTTTTATTTTGGAGTTTTAAATTATTGTAGGTCTAAAGTAACAATAGTGGGGAGAGCACTGTCTTCTGGTCCTCAGGCTAACCTTTTCCAGAGGACAGGGTTCACATTAAATAAATAAATAAAATAAATATTTCCAACACTCACACCAATTAGCCAAGCCCCAAAGTAAGCACTGTAAGGCTTTACATTATCGTACATTACCATGTACGAAAATGTAAAGTGGTTGCAATTAATTATTATTTTTATTATTATTAATAATGCTATTAAAATGGTGGTGCTTGTTTATCGGTCTAATATTTTTTAATTTCTTCTTTACATATTTCACTTTATATAAAACAAAGATATTTCAAACCCCAATAAAATCATAATTGTTAATAAAATGAAACAATGAAGGATAAAGAATTCAAAACTCATTGTAGATACAATAGATGAAATATAGATTTTCAATTCCGAGGGTCTAAGTTGAATTCACAGCCCGAGATGAATTTCCAGTCAGTGATGAAAAGGGAATTTCATAAACTTTTACCGATGAATTAAGTGTTCCTTTTCTAATGGCAATGTTAAAAAAGGTTTATTCTTTCGCGTGAGGATTCTTAAACCCTAAATTCATATATTCGCCAATACTCATCATCAACATCTTTCGTTTATTTTTTCAATTATTAAAAAATGTGTTCTCTGCTTATCACATGCAAAAAAAACACATTATAAGTCAAGGGTCCAGTCTTTCTTATAGTGGATAAAGTTCATGACTTATTTAATAGACTCGCTTTCTGATACTGTTTTAATCAAAATAGAATAAAGTCTATAAACATTGTTTTTCATTCATAGGCTGAGGAAGGCCTAGTGGTGCGCCTCCGCATGGAGTCGGTGCGTCTGCCGTGCGCAGGACAGGCGCTGCGGGCACGGGATGGAGACTCGCTCGGGTCGCCCCTACTCGCCTCGTGGGACGGGCCCGACAGCTCCGCCGCAGTAAGTGACTTGCGGACACATTCACACTACAATAACTCGCGACCACATTCATTGATATGACAAGGGTGGCTAGTAATGCGCCTCCGTAAGAAGTCGGTGTAACTTTCGTTCGCGAGACAGGCGCTGCGGGCGCGGGACGTAGACACGCTCGGGTCCCCCCACTCGCTTTGTGGGACGGGCCCGTAAGCTCGGCAGCCGTGAGTGACTTGCGGCTGCATTCAAACACTCTATCGTAACTTGCGGCTACATTCAGAGACATGACAAGGGGGTTGTTAATAATGCGTCTCCGCATGGAGTCGTTGCAGCTGCCGTGCGCGGGACAGTAGGCGCCGCGGGCGTGGGATGGAAGCTCTTGCCAACGTTAACTTGCGGCTCCATTGAGACATAAATACGACAAATAACTATATATTTCATGGAAGTACCTTCACAGTAGACAGAACAAGCGATTTTGACAAGCATTAAATGTTCGCCTCTTGGTATGAAGCTTTGCAGCCGTAAAGCTTCGATGTGTCATCGAATTTTTTACACGATAACACGGAGCGAGTTTACAAGCTGCTAGCGAACTCGCTGGCTTATAGCTTGTAAACTAGTTGATGTTGATTTGTAGCTCGGCGCCGACGGCGGGTTCGAAGCGTCGATGGCAACCGCAGCGATTTGTGATTTTTACGGGTGATCGTTGATTATTTACCTTCCTTTCTACTTAGTTGGTGGCTTTTCTCAATGAAACGATTTTCTGAACGTTAAAACTGATTTAATGAACTATTAATTGTACTCAAAAATGACAAATGTACCAACACGAGGAAATTATATCGCCATAATAATTTTAAGAGTCCCTTCTAATTATAACAACCAATCAGAGGTCTCTTTTGAAACTACAGATTAGCAAAGTGTGACAATAATAATAGGTGGCGGGAAATTTGAAATTACAATTTATTTATATTGATTACAACATGTTGATTTTGCGTCAACATTCCTGCCGCCACCAGGGAAGAAACTGAACTGAACACTTGAAGTATTATTACAACTTAAATACATTAAGTATTATGAAAGTGATCTTAACACTATTAATAACAATAACTGTATCATCTGATAAACTATCTTACATAATAAGACTATGACTAACTTAAATTACATTTCATAGGTAATTTACATAATTTGACTACTGGTCGAATGAGATCGCCAGATTGAGTTTTAAGCTTAACTGACCTAACAATCATATCTGAACCTTTGAACAATTCAATGACTCTACCTCTCCTCCAATGTAAAGGGGGTGAGTTTTCATCTATGATAAGAACTAAATCATTTAATTCTATGTTGCTAACATGATTATACCACTTATTACGTGCTTGCAAAGTATTGAGGTATTCAATATGCCATCGTGACCAAATTGACTGATACATTTTTTGAATAACTTGAAAATGTGACAATCGCGACATTTTCGTATCCTTCCAGTGAGGTTCTGGTAAGGCAACTAGGGGCTGGCCAATTAGAAAATGGCCAGGTGTGAGTACCTCAAGATCGCACGGGTCGTCCGACATCGGAACTAGAGGGCGTGAGTTAAGAATCGATTCGATCTTTGAAAATAGAGTGGACAACTCTTCAAAAGTGAAAATAGTTTCCCCAACCTCTCTCCTGAGTAGGTTTTTTGTACTTTTGACTGCAGCTTCAAATAAGCCGCCCATGTGAGGTGAAGCAGGAGGATTGAACTCCCAGCGAATATTCTGTTGCTTGAACTCTTCCTTCAGAATAATCTCATTATCGACCAAAAACCGATTGATCTCCTTTAAATATGAATTTGACCCAATGAAATTTGTACCTCTATCCGATCTGACGAGTGAAGGCAGGCCTCGTCGACTGACAAACCTGGTGAATGATGCGACGAAAGCGTCGGTAGTCAATGCTGATACCACTTCAAGGTGAACTGCCTTGGTAGCTAAACATACAAAAACACATAGGTAAGCCTTGACTGATTTGGCATTCCGTAGCAAACTGCTTTTGACTAAGAAGGGACCTGCAAAATCCGTCCCTACGCCTGAAAATGGGCGAGCTGCTGTGACTCTATCAGCAGGTAGATCGGCCATAAATGGTGGATGAACTGAAGCCCTGAACCTGAAACATGATAAACATTGTCGTATGACCTTGGACACTTGACGTCTGACTGAAGTAATCCAGTACTCCCTTCTGAGTAACGCGATGAGCGCGTTTGTTGCTGCGTGACAATATGACTTGTGATAATACTCAATTAATAATTGACCCCATTTATGATCCTTGGGTATGAGGTATGGATGTTTTGCACCATACGGAAGCGCAGATTTTCGTAGTCGTCCCCCAACTCGAATGAAGTGCTCATCATCAATAAACACACTGAGCTTTTGCAATGATTTACAAACCAACTTGCCCTTTTTGATAAGTACGATTTCGTCCTTGAATGCATCCAATTGGATTTTCTTAATCCAGTGTTTTGTGGCGTCGCGCGCTTCCTCTATTGAAAGTGTAGGTTCATGATTCCTTTTCTCCCTAGGTAATCTGATATTCTTGCAAAACCTGAGTACATATGAAGTAACATTTATTAACTTGGTGTATGAACTGACCCGTGATAGTAATGTGTCCTCCCATGACTCAACTGGAGTGACTGTATTGATCAATTTCTTGAATCCAGGTAAATTATGAGGCATAGTGACTGGCAACTGTGGCCACTGAGACTCGTCTCTTTGTAACCAGGAGGGTGACCACCATAATTGACATCCAAGTAGGTCCTTGGCTGACATGCCCCTTGACCCTACATCTGCTGGATTTAACTCTGATCTTATATGACGCCAGGTCATTAATCGTTTGGAAGTTTGAATCGCTTGAACCCTATTGCATTCAAAGGTTTGAAGCATGTGAGGTGCTGTATTTAACCATGATAACACAATGGTGCTGTCCGACCATGCGTTGATACTGTGCAATTGAATAGAATCATCATATGAATCCGCTACATGATTCAGTAGTTTGAAAACTAGATGAGCAGCACTGAGCTCGAGCTTGGGAATAGTTTGTGTAGTCTTCTTGGGAGCTACACGTGATTTAGCAATGACTAGACGTACCATTACGTTCTCTGATGAATCTACCGTCCTTAGATAGATGCATGCTGAAAGTCCAAGTTCTGAAGCGTCCCCGAAGCCGTGGAGGGAGTATGATACCGCGTTGGGCAGTGATACACATCTGGGGATGGATAAATTTGATAAATTATTTAAATCTTGGATGAGTTCGTTCCATTGAGAATCTTGAGATTGAGTTATGGGTTCATCCCATTTTAATCCATCTGAAAATAGTGATTGAAGGAATAATTTGAACTTAAATATAATTGGCGTACAATAACCACATGGATCAAATAACCGTGCAATAGTGCTAAGCACACTACGTTTCGTGAGTGGGTGACCTGTTGGTACCGTGACCTTGTATGACATAGAATCTGACACTGGGTCCCATTGAATTCCTAGGACCTTTATGAACCCTTTATCTTCAGTATCAAATTGATGAGGCTGCTCACAGTGCTCTTGTGGCAAGTCCTGCAATAATTCAGTGCAATTGGATGACCATTTCCTTAGCTCATAGCCTGCACTTTTCATAAGAGTAATGAGTTCTGATTTTAGTTGCTGGGCATCCAAGAGTGAATCTGTACCCGTTAAAATATCGTCTACGAAGACATCTCGCCTGAGGATGGCTGCCGCAGGTGAATTGAGATGAGTAGCCTCCCAGTCGTCTGCCAATTGCAGTAGCGTTCGAATTGAGATGAATGGGCTTGACCTAAGTCCATAAGTGTTAGTATTTAACTCATATACCTGAATATCCTCTGAAGGATCCTTTCTCCAAAGTATGAGCTGATACTTCCTGTCATCTGGATGGATCCATGTCATCCTAAACATCATCTTGATGTCAGTGGTGAATACTATTTGATGCCGTCTGAAATTTAATAATATTTTAGTAATATCCGTTTGGAGAGGTTGACCCGTATGAAGGCATTGATTGATTGAGGTACCAGTGGATGATTTGCCACTACCATCAAAGACCACTCTAATCTTGTCCGTACCTTTCTTGAAAATACCGTGATGTGGGATAATGAAGTGTTCAGAATCAAACTTAAATTCTGATTTAGACATATGACCCAGAGATTCATATTCCTCCATGAATTCTCTATATTTCTGTGCGAATAGTGGATTTCTATCCATCTTCCTCTCTAATGACTTAAACCGTTGAATAGCTAATGCCCTTGAGTCACCTAGTGAAGGTCTGGTTGATAATAGTGGTAACCTTACCATGTATTTGCCATCCGGCATGCGTTGAGTAGTTGACTTGTACAACCTTTCACATTCCAAATGATCCGGGTGTACTGCTGGTTTGGAGGGAGGTTCTTCTAACTTCCAAAACCTCTCAAGGACGTCTTCAAGCCTTGTTGCATGAAGCCCATAGTCTTCTACTGAAGTTTCCGTTGGTTGACCTGAGGCACCAGAAGATGGCTGCTGACCTGAAGCCATGGCACCCATGATGACATGCCCAAAACACGATCCATAAGCTGACAAGCCTGGAATGTTAGTTGATATCTTGGAACCATCAAGAACATAATTGAGAATATCTGTACCCATGATTATATCCACATCATGTGCCTTACTGAAGTTACTATCGGCTAAGATAATGTTTGATGACCTTAATTGATCCCTTACATGAATATCATATGGAGGGAGATTTCCAGTGACTGAGTACATGACTACTGCTGTAGTACTGACAATAGGTACCTGTTTGCCTACAGGTTTGATAACTAACTTTACTACCGTACCTGGAGTCCTAACCTTTTGTTTACCTACCCCATAAATACTATTCCTAATAGACTGCTGATGCAGATGTAACCTATCGACTAATGATTGTTTGATAACGGACATACTGGCCCCTGTATCCAGTAATGACCTGACCTTGAAATATTGACCATCACCTGACTTAACCATCACCGTTGCAGTGGGACAGATGGTGACTGGCAATGATGAACCCTGAGCTGCATCAACAGGAGCCTCATCTCATTGTTTTGACGTGGGGCTCAACCTAGATCCGAAGCGTAGGTTGTGAAATTGAACATTGGCCTGATGTGCCCGCTCACCTACTCGTGGGCGTCGTTGATATGCTGGTACTGACTGCACTGGTGTTACCTCGCATGGCCTAATCTGATGATCAATATTGCTTGGGCAATCATTCTGACTTCCACTTGATTCTTGACGGATGGGTTGAAACGGTGAGGGAGGTGGTGATATTGACTGCCTTGACTGACGTGATGGTGATGACGCACCAGTGTGGTGATGACGCATGGCAGGCGGTGACCGCGATTCTTGAACTCGTGAACCTGAACCAGCATTACAGATAAGCGAATTATGCTCTGGTGATTTGCAGTGAAGACACCAATTCCTGTGAGTGCATTCACTTGCATAGTGTTTCCTCAAACACTTATAACAGTGGCCTGTCCTTTTGGCCCATGACTTTCTGGCTCCTGGAGGCATTCTTAAAAAGTCTGCACACTTGTACAACGTATGTGTCTGATTCCCACAAAATGAACATGAAGATGATATTACCTGATGTGATGAAGTTGATGGTTGATGTGACATCACCCCTCGTGGTGATAAACCTGATGATCTCTGGGTGGGAGGTGAACGTCGTCCCCGGAGAGGTGGTGATTGACGTGTGCTCTTGATTGGGGTCCGCTCTGCTGGTGGAGTGACTGTCGAGTGAACGCGGCACTGCTCATCCAACAGCTCCAGAAGCTGAAATACTGTAGGCAGCGTCTGGGCATCCTTCCCATACCGCTCCTCAAACATTGACCTCATGCGTACAGGAAGCTTCTGCAAAACCATGAACAATATGAAATAGGACCACTCTTTGACTGGTACCTTGAGCTTTTCCAATGCTTGGATAGCCTCATGAAGCGGGTCATAAAATTCTGATCGTAGTGACATGGTGGACTGAATCACCGGTAAATGAATAATAATATTGATATATGTATCCACTAACAATCTATGATTTTGATATCTGTCCTGAAGCAACTTTAATGCTACCAAGTAATTATCACCATCCATAGGTAGTTGCCTGATGATTGACAATGCATCACCCACTAATGATGCTCTGAGGTAGTAATGCTTTTCTGCATCTGATATGTCCCTACCGTGAACTAATGATTGAAACAGGTCATGAAAAGGAATCCATTCCATTATGTTTCCTGAAAATTTTGGCAGTTCAATGAGTGGTAATTTAGCCATTACCTGTGTATGAGGTACCTTGGTGTCAGATGTGGACCCTCCACTCTCTGAAGCTTGATCCAGCTTGATAAGCAGTTTGTTGATGTCACTGAACTGCTGTTGATACAGTGCCATTTCCTCCTCTGTTACCTCACTAGAGGTGAACCCAAGAAGTTTCTCATAGGCTGTGACAAACTGGTCATAATACTGAGTGAAGTGTTTTTTAGCTACGGCCGCCGCCATAGAACCGGTAGTATTGTCAACCGTGGCTGCAAAATCCAATAGCATCCTATATTTCGCCTTAAATTGCGTTTGTGCCTGACGTAACGACATATTGAATTCGTGTACGTATTCAAATTAAACTAAAACACGTAATAATTGATGTAATTAACAGTTGTTATTGATTAAATAACTACCTATTGAAATTCCTATGAACACTAAATGATTTGTTGTTTACAAACAACCTTTATCACCTGTTATCACTGATAATGATTTATTGTTTGTTTATATGAACCTTACAACACTATGACTTTATTTATTATTGACATTGAAAACCCTTTGAAACTCAATTAAATGATTGTAATAATTGACTATTTAATTAAACTTATTGATTACGATCGTGATCGATATGAACAATTGATCGTACCTGACAGTCAGTTTTCGCTTACTGACATTGACGTGTAGTTTGCTTGATTGATGTGTCAAACGTCATTGATTGCGTTCCGTTCTTGATGTCTGTAAATGAATGAAGTCCATGAACACTTGTCCGTAGTGAATGCAGCTACTCTGGCGCACCTCCGGAACGAACCGAACACCGGCTGTGGTGTTGGTTTTGAACGGTGCTCAGCTTCCCGCCGAATGATGTGACGAAAATATGGCCGCCGTATTTCTTGCAAATACCGACCGAATATTTTGACGAACACCACTGATTGATGTTTGATTTATTGAATGCACTAGTACACTTTTACACACCGAAATTGACCTTTTGACGCACTGATTTTAGTGTTCACTGACTGTATATGAATTATACATAACTTGCCGTGCTGTGTCGATCGCGTGACCTTGAAGCTTTCACACGCCGGTCGTTGTTATGAATCCGTAGTAGCCGTGATATTCGTGCTGTCTTGATTTTCACTCAATCTTGAGCGCTGTTCCCCTCATGGGCCACCAGAAATGATGTTGATTTGTAGCTCGGCGCCGACGGCGGGTTCGAAGCGTCGATGGCAACCGCAGCGATTTGTGATTTTTACGGGTGATCGTTGATTATTTACCTTCCTTTCTACTTAGTTGGTGGCTTTTCTCAATGAAACGATTTTCTGAACGTTAAAACTGATTTAATGAACTATTAATTGTACTCAAAAATGACAAATGTACCAACACGAGCAAATTATATCGCCATAATAATTTTAAGAGTCCCTTCTAATTATAACAACCAATCAGAGGTCTCTTTTGAAACTACAGATTAGCAAAGTGTGACAATAATAATAGGTGGCGGGAAATTTGAAATTACAATTTATTTATATTGATTACAACATGTTGATTTTGCGTCAACACTAGTCCTATGTCATCGAGGCTTAAATGACTTGCGAGTAAGCTCTGACACACACCAGTGACTTGAAGCTACATTCAGAAGCATGATAAATAACTTTGATGAAAGTCACAGTACGGTAAAAATAAGATAACGCGAGCGAATATATTTACGTCTCTCAGGCCTGTATTACAGAAAGATTCTCAGTGATTAGTCTTGAGCATAGTTAGAAAGGGATGTCGCTATATATAGCACATAATGGCATCCCTTTCTAACTGTACCCAAGTAAAGATCTACACTTAGATGTCATTCTGTAATACGGGCCTAAGTGTGGCCTTCGTCAATTTTGTTTGTATTTTGATGGCAAGGTAGCATTTCCGTTTATTAATCGAGGGTTTTGAATGTTCACTGATAAGTATAATTATCATAGGTCGGCGACGTAGAGACCACGACGGACAGCAGTGGGGTGATGGAGATAGCCGGTGGCCGTCACATTTTGGTAGAGCTGCGCTCCTCGGACACCAGCGAGAGGTGTGCCGGTGGCTTCTTAGCGCACGCTAGTCAAGTTGGTAAGCGAAACCAAAGGCTGAAGTCGTGTTCTAACGAAAATAATGATTTTCCTAAAAAATCAACTCGAACCGGGTATCAGGACAAGGGCTGAGATCGATACAGCATCAAACGCTATTCTGGCAAAGGCCCTTTTCACTATCAGCTTCGTTGGACGCGTTTAATCTGCAATCTTACTAATGTGCCGTTAGAAAACCCCAGTCAGATCCTCATTGTAATTTTACGTTATGATAGGTATTGTATAATTGGCCCATCTCTATGTGCTAATTAAACGATACCTACGCCTTGTATTCCATTGGAGACCATTACACGCCTGTTTCATATTTTAGAACCAATCAGGAATGCGTCAGCGGCATGGGCTGTGGTGAGCGGCGCCACCTGGTGGAGGGGGGGCGGCGGGGCTCGAGGTGCCGCCGTGGCGCTGGCGGCCATCGCGGCGCTCGCGGCGCTGTGTCTAGCACTACACTCCGCGCACCGCACCAGGGCGTACCAGCGGGCGGCCGATAAGGAGTCCCTAACTGACAGCGACGGTGAGTGATCCGTCAGGTGTCAGAACCCTGGCTGGCGGTCATCGCGGAGCTACGTCTAGTGCTGCATTCCGCGCACTGCACCAGGGCTTATCAGCGGGCGGCCGACAAGGATATCCTGACTGACAGCAATAATGACTGATCCGTCAGGTGTCAGAACCCTGGCTGGCGACCATCTCGGCGCTGTGTTTTGTGCTGCACTCCGCGCACCGCAACAAGGGCGTATCAGCGGGCGACCGATAAGGAGTCCCTAACTGACAACAACAATAAGTGATCCATCAGGTGTCAGAACCCGGGCTGACGGCCATCGCGCCGATGTTTCTAGTGCTGCATTCCACGCACCGCACCAGGGCGTACCAACGGGCGGCCGATAAGGAGTCCCTGACTGACAGCGACGGTGAGTGATCCGTCAGGTGTCAGAACCCTGGCTGGCGGTCATCGCGGAGCTATGTCTAGTGCTGCATTCCGCGCACTGCACCAGGGCTTATCAGCGGGCGGCCGACAAGGATATCCTGACTGACAGCAATAATGACTGATCCGTCAGGTGTCACAACCCTGGCTGGCGGTCATCTCGGCGCTGTGTTTTGTGCTGCACTCCGCGCACCGCACTAGGGCGTATCAGCGGGCGACCGATAAGGAGTCCCTAACTGACAACAACGATGAGTGATCCATCAGGTGTCAGAACCCGGGCTGACGGCCATCGCGCCGCTGTTTCTAGTGCTGCATTCCACGCACCGCACCAGGGATTACCAGCGGGCGGCCGACAAGAAGTTCTTGACTGACAGTGATCCGTCAGGTGTCAGGAACAAGCTGGCGGCCATCGCGGCGCTGTGTCTGGTGCTGCCAAGGGCGGATCCAGGGGGGGGGGGGGGGTCATGGGGGTCATGACCCCCCCTGGGCTGGGTACAGATGGACCAAACACAGGGGGATTTTATTTAAGTACTTACAATATTTAATATACCACGACTATATGACCCCCCCCTGGCGCCAAAGCTGGCTATATGACCCCCCCCCCCTGGCGCCAAAGCTGGATCCGCCCTTGAGTGCTGCATTCCGCGCACCGCACCAGGGATTACCAGCGGGCGGCCGAGAAGGAGTTCCTGACTGACAGCGAAGGTGAGTGATCCGTCAGGTCTCAGAACCCTGGCTGGCAGCCATCGCGGCGTTGTGTCTAGTGCTGCATTCCGCACACCGTACCAGGGCTTACCAGCGGGCGGTCGACAAGGAGTTCTTGACTGACAGCGACGGTGAGTGATCCGTCAGGTGTCAGAACCCTGGCTGGCGGCCATCGCGTCTAGTGCTGCATTCTTTAGATAGAGTAATTTCTTTAAAATACCATCCTATGCATTTCTTCTTTTTTTTTTGAAGTTATACTTCCTTAGCCGCGTTATGAAAAAATTATGAGAGTGAAATTTTAAGATGCGCGCGCATCACTGTAACACAAGAGTAACAGCATGAAGTTGGCCGCGGGCGCGTTATGAAAAAATCATGTGAGTGAAATTTCGAGATGCGCGCGCATCACTGTAACACAATAATAACACCATGAAGTTGGCCGCGGGCGCGTTATGAATGTTAGTGTCTAAGACATCTGTTCGAAAGGTACTTTGAACGATCCACGGAGCTCCATAAGATGATCGCGTTGTCAAAAACAATGTTGGCACGCTCGTCGCCTCTGATCACTGTTTTCATATTTATAATATTTATCCACATGTTTCTAGTTTCTATATAGACACAACGTGTTTTAGTTACTTACAAGTGCTAATTACATATGGACTAATAACTTAAATTCAGTAGTGATTTTAATTGAATATTTTGATTATTTATTTAAATTTTCAAATTAAAACTGAACTTAATTGACTGTGTTAACTATCCTTTTCCAGTCCTTTTATTATTTTATTGTAATTATTAATTATTTGCATGCAATTAAAAAATATTTTTAATGATGCTAAAGAAGTATAACTTCTCACGCGCGTACATAAGTTACACGCATCCATTTTTTTTATTTCTCTCTAGTTTTATAAATGACTTCTAAGTTTTTCATTAGGGTGATAAACAGCGCCGTTAATGAAATTAAAAACTTCACATTATAAACCTTATAGACATAATCAAATTCCCTCTCTTGGTGTTGTTTAGTGTCTTTTTAATTTTGTTCCGGTTTATTTGGCTATCAAAACTTTTATTAGAAAATTTAACGTAATTTAAATGCAAAAAAAATATTGTTTGATGTTTACAAAGTAGAATAGGGTATTTGACAGTATTAATAAATAAAGTGCCAAATGTTATCATGTGTGTTTAGAATGTATATTGGCAGGGGTTTTTACACAAAAAATATTCATCATTTTACTAAAAACCCACGAAAAATAGTTTTCTTATCTATTGTCACGCGACCCAAATAATAAAACCCAAACAGCGAGGCAACGCTGCCAGCCTTCTGGGGACCGTGCCCCGCACAGGCGAACTCAATGAAATATTTAATTTGTAATTATTGTTGTACCTTTTGTTGACATAAATATTAAATGCTTTTAAAACTTAAATATAATAAATCTATTTGTTTAGCTTGCTCAGCATCTCTGGAGATGGGCGCGGCGACTGCTGGCTCCAGGAGCACGTTACTCTCCGAGGTGGTGGGAGGCGGCGTGTCGCTGCGACGTCTTCTGCCTTCGGGGAAGACTCGACACACCAGACTCCATAACTCTGACAGGACCTCGGAAAATGTAGACCAGAGGTGAGTGACATTTCGTCATCATTGGTTATAACTTAAAATAATAATTAACCTTCGTTGCAACGTCTCTTGCCTTCGGGGAAGACTCGACACACCAGACTCCATAACTCTGACAGGGCCTAGAAAAATTTAGACCAGAGGTGTACCACTTCGTCATCATTGGTTATAACTTAAATAATAATAACCTTCGTTGCAACGTCTCCCACCTTCGGGGAAAACACGACACACCAGACTCCATAATTCTGACAGGACTTCGGAAAATGGAGACCAGAGATGACCATTTCGTTATAATAACAACAAAATTTACCTATTTTTCTATTAAAAAAATTCTTTATATTCATAAATGTAGCAGATAAGCTTCTAAATATAGTTACTTCTAATTTTATTTCTCACAATGTATTTATAAGATCTTGATTGATGGTTGGAAGGCACGTTAAGCCATTGGTGCCGGCTGCACTTGCAGTCGTTAGCACCCACCAATTCGCATTGGACACGCGTGATAGGTTATGGCTATTCCATCCATGTGATTGAGGAGCTCCATGGCACAGGTGGCTAGCGCGTTCGCAGATCGCAGATCGTTGAAGTTAAGCAACTTTCGCAATAGTCGGTCATTGGATAGGTTACCAAAAGGCTTCTATCTCGAGTTCCTCCGTGCTTCGGAAGGCACGTTAAGCCGTTGGTATCTGCTGCATTTGCAGTTGTTAGCACCCGCCAATCCGCACTGGGCCCACGTGGTGGGTCATAGCCCAATCTTCCTATTACATCCACAGGGAAGGCATGTGCCCCAGCAGTGGGGACATTAATAGGCTCATGATGATGATGATGATTCCATCCATATAGAAGGCTTGAGTTCTAACAGTAAGGATATTAATAAGCCTATGATGATGAGGACCTAATACCGGAATAAGCATTATCAAAAATCAAATAAAACTAGTTTTTACAGGTTAATGCACGAAACTTTATTTATTTATTGACGTTTCGTAGCCTTTACAGGCTTCGTCGTCAGAATAAAACTTTTATTTATACTAAATAAAAATCAAAATAATAGTTTTATTCTGACGACGAAGCCTGTAAAGGCTACGAAACGTCAATCTTTATATATATATATAATTCTTCTGTGAGTGTGTATGTCACTGAACTTCTCTTAAACGACTGGACCGATTTTGATGAAATTTTTTATGTGTGTTCAAGGGGATCTGAGAATGGTCTAGATTCACAAAGACGTGTAGACAGGACAACGTCTGTCGGGTCCGCTAGTAAATAAATAAAGTTTCGTGCATTAACCCGTAAAAACTAGTTTTATTTAATGAGTGATGTGCGTGAAAACCTAAGAAACAAATATTATCAAAAATCGTTCGAAAGAAGTATTTCGTGCGCGTGAAATTAAAACCACAAAATAGAAAGTAGCCAGTAGAAGCACGGCTACGCTAACGCCGCGCCGTTTTCGAAAGTGATTAGGTACTGTTTTTGAAACGAAATGGAACTCTAAGATTGATATAGTGGAAAACTCTGAAAAAAAATATACCGGTATTTACATATTGATTGTATGCAACAATAGGATAGCGCGAGTCACAATTATACAGCGCTATCTATGGACGCAAAAAGTTAATACTAAGGATACTTAACATATTATATTATAAACACACAACCAATAGTGCGGGTCACATTGACACAACGCCATCTATTGATGCACGGAGTAAACACGTATCTTAACAATTAGATTAAAACAAAAATACCTATGTAAAAAAAACTCATTAACCGACAAAATTGTAATTGGTTTTTTATGATATACTTACCAAAGTCACCAAAGCCGTCAAAATAATATCCACGCAAAACATTCGTGAAGCGCGTAAGCCAACGCAAGTCTGTCGTATCAAACGCCCTTAAATAACGAGGGGCGTATTTTTTAATTAACGCCGCACTTCGGTACAAAAACAAGGCAATTATGGAGCTTTCTCATTAATCCTACCTTCGCCCTATTGTTGTTGCACGTACAGCCAGCGGCGCCCAATCCTGTCGGTATTACTTATAATTCTTTCATGACACTTTGATGGTATTGTGCGTTTTAATTGGCAGATAAGTGGTCTCCCTTTATTAGCTTTAAAGGGGCTTGGTAATTTTACACTCAAAAAACAACAGTCTTGGCACAGAACATAATAGCTAAATTCCTTTAGCTTTTTTGTTTTTCATACAATCATAATTATATTTTTATTAATACCTACTTTCTATCATGTGTTTATGGCGCCAATATCAAAGTTCGTAAGCTTGCAAAAAATTAAAATCTAGTCTACATCGGTTCGTTTTTTCGACGCACATAAATATAGGGACACTTGAACACTTTAGTGTCGCCGCACACGGGCCACACGCCACAGCCACAAAAGCCGCCACTAAAAGCTAGAAGCGGCTACTAAAGTGGCTGAAGCGCGGGACAGCGGCCGACAAGGTAAGGGAAAGAGGGGTGGGGAATCGCGTGAGTGACGTGTGGCGGCGATTTGTATCGGCGCATTAAGTGGCCGGTGCGGGCCACAAGAAGCGAGCAACGACGATTTGTAGCGTGTGGCGGCCACCGGCGTACCGTGTGTGGCGAGTCCATATAAAATGTATGAAAACTACAAGAAATATGCCGGTGGCAGCGTTTTGTGGTTGTGGTCGGTGGCCCGTGTGCGGCGACTCTTAGGCTTGCAACAGGGTTTAAATATCATCGATTTATCATAAAAACACGTCATTTGGGATTAAATAATAATTTTATTTATTGTATTTAAGACTAAAGATACAAGATAGGTTTATATGTAGGTAAGCAATAGCAGCATATAGCCGCATATTTGGTTATTCGTCTCCCGTAAACATACGTCCCGAATAAACAATCTCACGAACTTTGTTTTGCTTTCTTATAGTCAATCACAATATCCCTTTTGCGAACAAGAAAATAACTGTTTCTATCTCGAAGCCGTAAAAAAACATTCCATTTATTATAGGCTTTTTCTTTTGTGTTGTAAATATTTCTCAAGACACGAAATCGTTAAAATCCACGATAACATTATGAAATGCATCTTCTATGTAACCCAATAAATCGTTAGCAGAGTGTAAAAAATGTGCTAGGATAATAAAGGGCCCCATATACGGAACGATTCGTCGTTGCGATCGATCTGAAGGAAATCGTCAACGATCGATCGTTCAGAAATGCCACTACATACACGAAACGATTGATCGTCAACGATCGATCGTTCAGAAATGCCACTACATACACGAAACGATTGATCGTCAACGATCGATCGTTCAGAAATGCCACTACATACACGAAACGATTGATCGTCAACGATCGATCGTTCAGAAATGCCACTACATACACGAAACGATTGATATCGTTCAGAAATGCCACTACATACACGAAACGATTGATCGTCAACGATCGATCGTTCAGAAATGCCACTACATACACGAAACACTGTCGATCGATCGTTTACGATATTCATGATTGCATGGGATTTGGTTGCGATTTGCAATATCGTCTTCGATTAAGTAAATCGTTAACGATCTTGACATACACTGTCGATCCATCGTTTCGATCGGTCTGAAACGACGGATCGTACAGATCAATCGTATCGTATATGGGACACTGACGATCGATCGCTTACGATATTCATGATTGCATGAGTTTTTGTTGCGATCTCCGATATCGTCTGCGATTAAGTTAATCGTTAACGATCTTGACATACACTGTCGATCCATCGTTTCGATCGGTCTGAAACGACGGATCGTACAGATCAATCGTACCGTATATGGGACACTGACGATCGATCGTTTACGATATTCATGATTGCATGGGATTTGGTTGCGATTTGCGATATCGTCTTCGATTAAGTAAATCGTTAACGATCTTGACATCCACTGTCGATCCATCGTTTCGATTGGTCTGAAACGACGGATCGTACAGATCAATCGTTCCGTATATGGGCCCCTTAAGGGTTGTACTATACCACAACAAAGTTAACATAACAAGAAACCATGTTTACTCTAATTTTGTATAAAATTTTCTTCATAAACTAATATTGAATGGCTGAATACCTTTTTTGCGGTAATGTTACAAAAGCTTTTTTTATACATAGGGAAGAGGAAGAAGAGCACAGTGATGTAGAAGCGGACCCAAGCGACAACGCTAGTGTCGCGAGCGCACGCAGCGCCGCTAGCCAGGCGACGATCACACCAGAAACCGTGTCATCTAGCAGCGCGCCAGTAACGAGTAGCAACGTAGCGCCATCGCCGTTACGTCGATCTCATACAGTTACCGCCACTTCTAACGTCACTGTATCTACGAGTGTGTCTAAGGTAAGTGGACAAAGCCAGAGTCGCAGCCTTTAGAGCAGAACACACCTGTAACCGTGTCATCTAGCAGTAAGCCAGTGAGAAGCGGTAATGTAGCATCATCGATGTTGCGTCGCTCTCATACAGTTACCGCCACTTCTAACGTCACTGTATCTACGAGTGTGTCTAAGGTAAGAGGACAAGGCCAGAGTCGCAGCCTCAAGAGCCGAACACACCTGTAACCGTGTCATCTAGCAGTAAGCCAGTGAGAAGCAGTAATGTAGCATCATCGATGTTGCGTCGCTCTCATACAGTTACCGCCACTTCTAACGTCACTGTATCTACGAGTGTGTCTAAGGTAAGTGGACAAAGCCAGAGTCGCAGCCTCAAGAGCCGATCACACTTGTAAGCGTGTCATCTAGCAGCGCGCCAGTAACGAGTAGCAACGTAGCGCCATCGCCGTTACGTCGCTCTCATACAGTTACCGCGACTTCTAACGTCACTGTATCTACCAGTGTGTCTAAGGTAAGTGGACAAAACCAGAGTCGCAGCCTCAAGAGCCGAACACACCTGTAACCGTGTCATCTAGCAGTAAGCCAGTGAGAAGCAGTAATGTAGCATCATCGATGTTGCGTCGCTCTCATACAGTTACCGCCACTTCTAACGTCACTGTATCTACGAGTGTGTCTAAGGTAAGTGGACCAAGCCAGAGTCGCAGCCTCTAGAGCCGGTCACACCTGTAACCGTGTCATCTAGCAGTAAGCCAGTGAGAAGCAGTAATGTAGCATCATCGATGTTGCGTCGCTCTCATACAGTTACCGCCACTTCTAACGTCACTGTATCTACGAGTGTGTCTAAGGTAAGAGGACAAGGCCAGAGTCGCAGCCTCAAGAGCCGAACACACCTGTAACCGTGTCATCTAGCAGTAAGCCAGTGAGAAGCAGTAATGTAGCATCATCGATGTTGCGTCGCTCTCATACAGTTACCGCCACTTCTAACGTCACTGTATCTACGAGTGTGTCTAAGGTAAGAGGACAAGGCCAGAGTCGCAGCCTCAAGAGCCGAACACACCTGTAACCGTGTCATCTAGCAGTAAGCCAGTGAGAAGCAGTAATGTAGCATCATCGATGTTGCGTCGCTCTCATACAGTTACCGCCACTTCTAACGTCACTGTATCTACGAGTGTGTCTAAGGTAAGTGGACCAAGCCAGAGTCGCAGCCTCTAGAGCCGGTCACACCTGTAACCGTGTCATCTAGCAGTAAGCCAGTGAGAAGCAGTAATGTAGCATCATCGATGTTGCGTCGCTCTCATACAGTTACCGCCACTTCTAACGTCACTGTATCTACGAGTGTGTCTAAGGTAAGAGGACAAGGCCAGAGTCGCAGCCTCAAGAGCCGAACACACCTGTAACCGTGTCATCTAGCAGTAAGCCAGTGAGAAGCAGTAATGTAGCATCATCGATGTTGCGTCGCTCTCATACAGTTACCGCCACTTCTAACGTCACTGTATCTACGAGTGTGTCTAAGGTAAGAGGACAAGGCCAGAGTCGCAGCCTCAAGAGCCGAACACACCTGTAACCGTGTCATCTAGCAGTAAGCCAGTGAGAAGCAGTAATGTAGCATCATCGATGTTGCGTCGCTCTCATACTGTCACCGCTACTTCTGACAACGTCACTGTTTCGACGAGTGTGTCTAAAGCCCACCATTCACTACACGCACCGCGAGCCGAACCCCGAGCCGTACCCATTTGTGGACAAATCCGCCATTGCCCACACACTACACGAGCGCTTAGTTGCAGTCCAGTCGCTTGTGTACTTTGGTGAGCCTCGCGCGTATCGTTCTTCCCTACCCTACCATGCCACCGGTGCTTTCCAAACGCACAAAAGTCGCTTTAGTAGTGGGTGCAATACTTTTAACGGAGAAAAAAAGAAAAAGCGCGTCTGGACAAAGGAATGGCTGAAATAACGAACAAAATATACCTACTCTGTTTCTCTTTAGTTTTCTCTTTAAACAGCAGGATAAATTCTTGCCAAAACTCTTTATGATCGTCAAACGACATGTTATTATACTCGTTTACTCGTTCGTGATACAAACAACACAACTGCGTGCACGCACTACAAATGACTGACAAGTTCACCGATAAATCTGTGCAAGCACACACACGTACGGACTTGTACGGCGCGGCTGGGGTGCGGCGCGAACTGCATCCCTCATCAAAGTGTTATCTCATTCTATATAAGGCGTCACTAATCTCAATAATTACAAGAAAGAAATCAGGTTGTTCACAGGACTGAATGCATTGCAGCAATTTTAAATGAGTATATTTTGTTCGTTGTTTCAGTCATTCCTTTGTCCAGACGCGCTCTTTCTTTTTTTTCTTCGTTAAAAGTATTGCACCGACTACTAAAGCGACTTTTGTGCGTTTGGAAAGCACCGGTGGCATGGTAGGGTAGGGAAGAACGATACGCGCGAGGCTCACCAAAGTACACAAGCGACTGGACTGCAACTCGGCGCTCGTGTAGTGTGTGGGCAATGAGGGATTTGTCCACAAATGGGTTTGACTCGGGGTTCGGCTCGCAGTGCGTGTAGTGAATGGTGGACTTAAGATGGGTGAACTACACCAGGGTCGCGGTGTCAAGCTACCATCATGCCGAAGACTGACAGCCTTGTATGCCGTTTGCTGCGGGCTGCTGCAGAGCAACGTAATGGCTTAGCTGCTAAGTCATTTCCACACGATCACTGCCATTCTAAGCTTTATCGTTTTTCTGGGGGCGTTAAGGCGCTTTGCAGACGACGGGGCGGGGCGGGCCGGTCAATTTCGCCGCGAATAATAGCACAAAGTGAATCCCATACTACAAACGCACACAGAGGGCAAAAAGAACGCGCCGCAGGTGCCCGGCGGGCACTGGCGGCGCGGCATGTCCGCGGCTGCCCGCCGTGGATCATACAAACCAGTTTATATGCAGTAACGCAGACGACGGCGCGGGGCGGTCAGCTCAGTCCGCGCCGCGCGCTTTTTAGTGATGGACTATTCACTAGAACGAACGTCCTGAACTGACCGCCTCTGCCCGTCGTGTGCTTTGTGTACGCGGCACGGGCAGCCGCAGACATCGACGGGCAGACGCGGTCTTTATTGCTTCGCGGACAAAATGCCCGCCCCGCCCCGTCGTCTGCTCAACGCCTAAGCGTGCGCGCCTTAAGCGGGAGCACGAAGCAGGTGCCCGTCGCCGAGATCCACTGCGTACTTGGTCGGAGGACCCGCCATATACATCGCTGCTCTTTAAAATAACATGAAAAAAACACGCCGCGCGGATGCCTACTCCGGGTTCCGCTTAACGCAGCGCACTCTTTTGAGATAATGAGTTGCAGCTCAGAGCAGGGCTTGTTTACCGGTTAATTTTCAAACCTAAATCAGTATCAAGTACATTAGGAGCGGTTTATTAAGGTTTGGCTCTACCTTAACCTTAAAAAAACCGATTTACCTTAAAACCGAAATCATATAGGTTTTGAATCAATTTAGCGGTTTTTAAAGGGTTTTATTTCGCTCTTACTGACTTCATCGCCTTCGCCGTTTCAATTCATATTTATAATGATTTTATGTCAGTTTCTTTCCAACTACAGAGCGAGTGAGTGAAGTAGTGTGTACAACTACAAAATGAATAACTTGACTCACTAGACGCTAGCAAACGTGTCAATGAATGCATCATTCTCTAAGCATTAACAAGTTATGACTTAATTAGTTCAAACAAAACAAAATTCAAGCGATGCCGACGCGTGCACGTGGTGCTCTGGATTAAACCGGTTTATTAAGGTTTTAGGTACCGCTTTCATTTCGGACGCGTTCCGAACGAAACCTTCACTAAAAATCGGTGTTAACCTTTATTTACCGGTATTTTCGAAACCGGTTACAAACCCTGGCTCAGAGAATTTAGTATCTGACCCGTGACCAAGAGAAGATTACGCTATATCATTAGCGATTGAGTTTATTATACAAAGTCAGGCCGGCGCGGTCAGCGAACACAGATACCTAGCTCGAAGAATATACATTCCTCTCAACGTAACATTATTTGCTTAAAAAATCCCGAATTTGCTTTATCTAGCGAAATTCCGCTATACTCATATAGTTATGATTCCATATTTTTTTCATTATTACCTAAAATAGAATTTCCGAAACGTTAACTCTTTTCCTCAGGTCACGTCACCACCTCACACGTCAACCGCCGAGGAGGCGGTGACTGTCGACCTGAGCACTAGTGCAAGCAGTGTGAGCGAGAGGGACGATAGTTGCAGCGAGAAAGACAAGGACAGCTTGTGGGAGAAGGATCGTAGCCAGAGCCGAGCGTCTTCTACCACTTCGGCCGCAACTCTCACCAACGTGAGTTGTAGCGTTTTTATTTGTACAAGGCCCAGCCACCCCAGTACCACCCCTCCTAGTGTCAAATGTTTGTGGAGTTCATAGATGTGTGATCATAGATCATAAACTGTATGAGTGCCGGTTTTTATCTAAATCCGTTCAGTCATTTTTACGTGATTGAATAACAAATAGTAAAAACTAGTTTTATGGGAATATCACAGGAGTCTTATTTAATTAACTAGCTGACCCAGCGAACTTCGTACCGCCATAAAAAATAAGGGTTGGTGGTGGAGGGGTGAAAATTTAGGGTTATATGTATTTACTAATGCTGTATCATAAAAAAAATAAAAAGATAAAAATATCTAAAATTGAAAAAAAAAAATTGAATAATAATAGAATGAAAAATAGATTACATCCGATTCTCAGACCTACTGAATATACATATAAAATTTCACGAAAATCAGTCGAGCCGTTTCGGAGGAGTTTAACCACAAACACCGCGACACGAGAATTTTATATATTAGATATATAAATATTATGTATTTTTATAATAGTAACTATTGTTTTTGTTTTGTAAGTAATTTGTAACTAATCGTTATCCACGGGAACTCTGCCGACAAACTATTATAATAGTTAGGCAGATATTTTCATGTATAAACAATGTGTGCACTTAGAAAATCAATAAAAAAAAAGTCGCATAAAGAGTTGATACGGCAGAATAATAGTATCTATTGGGAATTCTTAGCTCTTAATTCAGGTTGCTCTGCTCCTGTTGCCAAGTAAAAGTCCTGTTTATTCTTGGGCCTATAGATACGAAAATAAGCTAGAATTCGCTAACTATAAAGACTATGGCCATAGCGCAAACTTACGGTGGTACACACATGAAAGAAAGAAATTTATTGTCTGTTAAAGTCACGGGCTTTTAACATTTGGTGTATTGCCAGAAAGTGCCATTATCAAATTAAATTAATACTAAACATTCATAAGTCAATTCATAACAAACATACATTCAGACATGAGGCACCTGCAAAAGAACTTTCTGAACATTTTAAACGTAGGTTACGAATCGTACATTACATAATATGTATCATGTTTTAAATATGGTTCTTAGCTACCTGCAATAATCGATTTTATTATTGGAGTTAAGAATCGATTTGCATATATAAGGGGCCCGGTATGAGAAAAATGTAAGGAGTAAAATCTATCGATGAATGACCTCGTTACGTTTTTGGTGCGCATCCTATGCCGCGCAACTTTCTAATTTGGTTGTGACACGTGCATAGGGTATACTGCAAAGCGACTATACCTATATGTTATTGGGTTTGTTTATTTATATATGTATATTATTTTCATTAATTTGTTAATTTACCCTTTCATACAGTATCAATCTTTTTTAAGTTAAATAAACTCTTTTTGCGTCTGGTAAGACTATCGCACTTAAGGAGTAAACTCCAGTCGTGCGTCGGAGCTGACACACACAATTTTTTATTATTACCAACTCGTTTCAAGGAAATGAAATGAACTTTATTAAGTAAATTAAATAATAAGTTCATACATAGACAATAAAATTTTAAAAATCTTCCAATGAAATAACCGAACGCTCAATATAAGTCTTTCGAAGGTAGCTCGACAATTTTAAATAAATAATCATTATTCTGACGATGCAGACCTGAAAAGGCTGCGAAACGTCAATAAATAAATAAAGTTTCGTGCATTAACCCGTAAAAACTAGTTTTATTAAATGAAATGAAGTTAAACTGTAATAAAGTTGACTTATCAAGAGCACTTTATAATTTTTGTCTTACCATACCAGGGTTGGTATTCGCCAGCATTGAGCGGAGTTGCGTCTGCTAGAATCCGGGACAATCCGAAGCACACAAAGGAGAGCTGCAACCGCCGCCTTCTGAGGTCGGACCTGAGCCTCACTTCGCACCCGGAGATGGAGATCGACTACTATGACTATGAAGTCAACAATGCTGGTAAGTTTTTTACCCGTAAAGCTGCTTTTTGTCGTAAAAATTTCTGCTTTTTTTGAAATAGGTACGTTTAAGTAGATACTTTCACAACATATTGTTATTCCATGCAAAATAGGTGATAATTTTTACAATATAGACTTATAGTACGAACTAGCTGACTCGGCGAACTTCGTACCGCCCAAAAGTAATAATTTGCAATAAATTAAAATTGCGACTATAATATGAGATTTAAACTATCCTATCTCTCAAGTTGGATCGAACTGCACATGGTGTGCGAATTTTATTATAAAAAGTGGTTTAGGAGTCCATTGATGACAAACATTGTGACACGAGATTTATATATATTAAGATAGCTTCTGCCCACGATTTCGTCTCCGTTATAGTTACTTTTTCGAGAATCCCAGAGGATCCTAACATTTTCTAAGGTAAAAAGTCTAATTTGTCTAAATCCAGATAATATACTATATGCCTTCCAAATTTTATTCAAATCCGTCCATATTAGCGTGATTGAATAACAAACATACAAACTTTCATATTTATAAAATCTCGATAGCGCAGGATCGTTGGAGTTAAGCAACTTTCGCAGTGGTCGGTCATTGGATGGGTGACCAAAAAATTACTATCTCGAGCTCCTCCGTGCATCGGAAAGCAAGTTAAGTCGTTGGTCCCGGCTGCATTTGCAGTCGTTAGCACCCACCAATCCGCACTGGGCCGCGTGGTGGGTCATAGCCCAATCTCCCTATTCCGTTTATAGGGAAGGCCTCTGCCCCAGCAGTGGGGACATTAATAGGCTGATTATGAGGACTAGTTATTAGGTTAGAATTTAGTAGAGTTGGAATACGACAAAAATACGAACTACTAAATATCCATTCCCAAATCTAATTTAACTTTAATGACACAACACTTGGCATATCTTGTATTTAAGATATTGTCTGGAAACGAGTGAAAGGTTGCTCTTCTTGCAAACTGAAATGCATATTGATAACGGTGATATTGTTCTAGGTTCCGTCCCTGGCTCATACTTGGGAATGGATCCAGCTTTCCTAGTGTGGATACCGCCGCTCGAAGAGGGAGACATTCTGAAAGAAATGGATGAGAATAAAGAACCCGTTTATGAGGTAAATTAAAAACAATAAGTTCAGTTTCTTGTGATTTATTTGATACAGATAATACTTCTTATTTATATATTTTGTTATGACTAGCATTACTTAACTTTTTAACCAAAAAGAAAGCCAGTATTGCGAAAACATGCTGGCGTAACTTAATTGTTTTACTAATACCGAGGCTTATTTACAGGAAGTTCTTCCGAAAGAACTTCACCCAGATCCGGGCAGTAACACCGAATCGCCAGAAGAAAGACCATCATCCAGCTCAAAAAAGAACTCCGACAATCGTTCTAATAAATCCAATGATTCCATCAAGTCTATCCGTAAAGTCATGGACAGAGGAAACGTTATACACCCGCTGAACTTCAGCATAAGTGATTTGCAAAATTCACCTAAACTGGGCAGGAAGAGTAAGAAAAAGAGAGATGATATTCCAGTGACTATACAAATGAAAGACTTGACCCTAACAAGATCCCCAGTAAGAGTGCACAGAAAAGAGAATAAGAACGAATATGACAGTAATTCTTCGACATTGAAGAGAGTTAACGATACTGCGAGAGAAACTAACGTCGACACACTCAAACGATCAGACTTCAATGATTTGAAATTTACAGATGAATCTACTTCAGATTCATCAGGTGAAATCAAATTCGCCGACGATTCACCTGACAGTAATAGACTTGTCGACAAATATGAGGTCAAAGTATAAGCGGAACAAGAACATGAAAAGTTCCCAGTAAATTTGTGTATGGCCTAAGAACTTTTGGGATCCTAATTCTTTTAGACCCATTCTTCAAAGTTCTAAGGTATAGAAATGATATTATCTGTCCAATTCAAACTTCTAGAACCTATTATTTAGAAGAATATTGTTTAAAATCATTAATCCATTAAGCCAAAGATTTTAATAACCCAAAAATAATTTCCGATAGTTATGATAAGGACCAATGTGAATAAATCCATATTTACCTAATCTTTCATATCATCAAATCGTAAATTGTAGCACGATATATATTTTTAAGATAAATTTTCATCTATCACTTTCACCCATATGTTAAAAGTAGAATCACATTAGAGTAAAAATAGGATTTTATAAAAGTGTATTTGTCATTTGAATGATGATATAGCCCGTAGAATGTGAAAAAACGTGGTAAACCAAACCAATCAGTAAATTTATCAATAACAAATAAAACTGATAAGCTAAAAACCAAAGTTCTTCATGAAAAATGTAAACTCATTATGTAACTTATATGAAATGCTAAAACTATAAGTTTAAATATTGTTCGCATAATACTGTCCATTGTCTATCGATCAACATGGTTGGTAATAGAATGTTTAAAGAAAACAGAGCGCTCTGCTACTAAATTTTAGGGTTTCTTTTGGTTTGGATGGTTGTAAAATGGTACGTTCGTAGATTTTACACGTTAATTTCCGCTTTGGCAAAATGTTGAAAGCTTTCCATGTCGTCAGCACTAGCCTTCATCTTTACGAGCTAACATTGTAATATGTTGGATGGAGCTATGTTTTTATTATAAAGATATTTTCACACTTTTTCCGAAAACTATGACAACACTAAAATTTCAGTAGGTGTCAGAGTAAGACCTATTTCGTTTCCATAAAAGAATTATGTAAGATGTAATAGATAATCATTTCAGTAATAAAAGATATCGGATTTGGTAAAACTTTGTAAATAGTTGAATACATACCACTGAAATTGGCAATTTCAAGTTACACCATACTCATCGTGTGTCATCAAAACTATTTCATTTTAAACATTAATCTATTATTTCAACTTTTAGAAGACTGACTATTTCGGGCAGTGCAATACGTTCCAAAATTATTGATTTAGCGATGTCATTATAATTTTAAGGATAACCTTTTAAAATGGTGAGTGTGAACAGTATTTGAAAGTATTGTGGCAATAATAATTTATCTGAGAGCTGAGTGCGAATTTCGATCCCTGTCGCGTCTATGTAAGCATATTTTTACACGATTATTCCATAAAGATTCATCATGCTTGAAAGTTTATTTATTCCGTCATAACTTTACATTTGAACGGATTTTTAAGGAATGGTTAATGTTTATAATACAGTTACTAATTTTAATCATTTCGTTCATTACAATGGTTCAATACATTTTCGATAGATGGTGTCCAACAATGCCATACAAGATTCTGGATAATGCACATTGAGTGTGTTGAAAATTCGTACTCAACGCCCAGTTTTGCTCTAGTCATTTTGTGTGATGACACTAGGATCGCATTTCGATCTACTTTATTTAATTAGTTTCTAAGATCTCCTTGCGAAATGATGCATTTATTATTTTTAATGTCTCTCTTATTCAGTGTTGATTGAGTGTTATTATTTATTTCAATGCTATTGTAAACTTATATGCTTAGTTAGTAAGTAAAAATGATGTTGATTATTATTTTTTTAGTTTCGATAAACCATTAAATTGTTTTTATTTTATATTTCAAATTGTAGTTTTATTACCCTTTTGGGCAGGTAGGTATCCTGAATAATTGATCTTCGAAAACTTTAAAGAAGGCTATCTTGGTTGAAAAATAAGCTATTTAAGCCCAAGATCAATCTGAGTGGCGTGCATTTGGAGAGGCCTATGTCCAGCAGTGGACTAAGATAGGCTGTTGCTGATGATGATGATCTAAGTTCATGTTAAGATTTTATAAAAATTAATGATCACTTAATAAATAATAATAATAAATTTCCAACACTCACACCAATTAGCCTAGCCCCAAAGTAAGCACTGTAAGGCTTGTGTTATGGGATACTAGGGTAACTGATAGAATACATATACTGTATATAAATAAGGATATATATACAGATATACATAGTAAGCATCCATGATTGGAACACTAATGCTCGTATTATACACAAACATCTGCCGCCACCGGGATTCTAACCCGAGACCTCTCGAATCGGCGACACCATGAAACCCAGCGTACAGACCACTCGGTCGTCGCCACTTAAATAAGTTGGGTATGTATTTAAATGACAAAAACGTTTTACAAAACCATTATCTTTTAAAAATACTGTTTCACCAAGGAAATTTTTATTCGTCGAAAAACCAAACTCAGTTATTTAGTAAAATTAAATAGAAACCAATTCTGCTTCAGAGAATTTCTTTGAAATATTATATGAATATATAGGACACAAAAAGTCTTTTTCAAACTATTAGTATTTCATATAAACTTTATGTAAAAAATTATTGGTATATCCGGTCCTTATGACCTTTTTAGCTTCGTAATAAAGCAGGAATTTAATACCGAGGCGTTCCAGGCGCCAATTAGCTTGCATGTGTCCGCACTGGGTATCCTTGCTACCTAAGCCTAAGTCTCGGGTCTTATGTGGGGCATACCTTCTCTTCTAAGCATCATAGTAACTTAAATTTTCTCTACATATGCAAATGAATCGCTCTATTTCCTTTGGCCTTGCCATAACTTGAGAACGACTTTACCGTTTCAACCCATGTTTTTGTTAAGTTTTCCAATACTTTGTTGATGTTTCTTAAGGAGGGAGGCGGGCTATGTTTTTTCCATGCAAACGTTCGAATGATTCCTACTTGATTTTTACTCCTAAAGAAATGATTTTTATAAATAAAATAGAAGTTTACTCATACTAAACTTGTGTTTGGAAGAAACTGGAAGCCCTCGAAAATGCCAAAAATTAAACAGTTTTTTATCACAACTAAAACGACTAGTATGAAGATTCAATAAGCATTTGCAAAAAAAAAGCATTGTTGGCCTAATATAACTAATTATTCTATTGGTAAAATTTCTTTTACATAGGTATATCTAATTTTCGAGAAGGAAATCGTCGAGAGTCAAACCTCGAATTTTGCAATTCTACACGCAATTTTCAGCGTAGCTAACGCTGAAAATTGCAAAACTGTTGTCCCAATCGCATGGTATTTGCCGATGCCCAACAGCAATATGTTTTTCAAATGTCTATTTCTCAAAAGTCTCTCAGCTCCCGTCGTTCTTAGAATAATAACACTAATACATATAATTCTTAGAAGAATAAAGACATAAGAATAAGTTTATAAGAAGGTTGCACAACTTAAAGGTAATGGCGGCGGTGTCGCGGGTAGAAGCTAATAATAAGGCTAAGAAGTCATAGAGCGATGTTTTCCCGCACTGAGTGATTTTTCTGTGCATCAAGTAAAAATAAATGTGTGCAAGGACCACACATCTGATGTGAAACTTCTTTTCTTAAATAACCTAACATGAGGCTATGCATAAGGCATAGGGGAATGGAGCAGCGCACGTATCACATATATATGAACTAGCGGCCCTCCCTCGCTTCGCTTCGGTGTAGAGCTGAAGTGTAGACTACAGTTTTTGTTCTCAGGCTTGTATTATACACAATGACATTCATCTATGATTCTTCTTATACCTGCATGCAAAGTCTCAGCCTGATCGATTTAAAATTGACAAAGTTTCATGCAAAATTTCATTCCCTATTTTATCCCCTTGGGGGTAGAATTGATCAAAATCCTTTCTTAGCAGGTGGCTACGTCATAACATCTACCTGCATGCCAAATTTCAGCCTGATCCGTCCAGTGGTTTGGGCTGTGCATTGATAGATCACTATGCCAGTCAGTCACCTTTGAGTTTTATATATATAGATATATAATATATATACCTATATACATGTAATGTATATATTGTGGCGTGTGAGGCTCGTAGCGTTACAGCCTTCGCCGAGTTATCCTCCTACTTCCATGCTCCCGGGAAGAACTGCGCACGCATCTCACACAACAACTCTCTCACGCACACACAGTCGTGTGACGCATTTCCGTGTCATATTTTCTCATTTACACCCCGTCCGTAAAGAAGTTTCACTTCAGAAACAACATCGTATATTTTCCCGTGACACGCCTGCATAGTAGCGACAAAGTTATCGAATGCAATGCACTGGAAGTATAACGGTTCGCCGACATTGACGAATGGCTGGTATACCCGTTGTGCCGAAACTGAGCTTTAGCAAGTTTTAGTAGTGTCTCACTATCACTATTTTTAGGCACAAACAGTTTATACAATACAATACAATACACAATTCTTTATTGAAAACACCACAGTATAGTACATAAATGGGGTAAATACATTATACAATACAATACAATACACAATTCTTTATTGAAAACACCACAGTATAGTACATAAATGGGGTATAATACATTATGTTTAAACATAGTGATTCAATGGACGGATTTATCGCTAAAAGCGATTTCTTCCAGACAACCTTTGGATGGAGAGGATTGAAAGAAACTGGAATCGGTGGTGTTATAAAAAAAATAAAAATAAAAACAAGGGATATAAAAATGTATATAACTATATATTTTAAATATATGTACATACCATACATACATAATATATACACATAATATAACTATAAGATATATACATATAATATAAATATTTGACACATACATACATAGACTACACATATATAAGTTTAGTCCAGTGAGAAAAAAAAATATTAAAAATAAAAATAAAAATGCAGTTACATCGACAAATAATGGTTGAAAACAAGATTTTTGAAAATATAAATAGATTGTGCTCGTCTTATGGTTACTGGAAGAGAATTCCACAGGCGAACAGCTTGGACGGCAAAAGAACGACCATAGAAGGTTGTGTCATGAGTAGGAATTTTTAGGGTTAAATTTTCTGATGACCTAAGAGATAATGCGTTTGAGCTATGAAGGTAATTGAAGCATTCCTTGAGATAGCGCGGGGACAAAGGATTGAACAATATATTGTAGAGAAGTGTGAGGATGTGAGTATTCCGGCGAAGTCGAATTGGTAGCCACTTGAGCTGTGATCGAAATTGTGACACATGATCATATTTGCATAAGATTATGGAAGTCGGAATTGGGAAAAAAATTAAGAGATATAAAAATCTACTCTACAACCTTATATCTAATGTAATAAAAATTTACACATCAATACTGTTTTTTCTTTTATATTTACATGATGATTCTTGAAGGTTGGGTTGGGTAATGTTGAGGATATTCAACATATGTGTTTTTTAACATCATAGATCATAATTATAGCTCGCTTGTGGAATTCATTACCGGAATCCATTCGGAGGGCTCGCACTCTGGACCCGTTCCGTGATCAAGTTAAGCGTCATTTCCTATCCTTACTTTGAAAATACCTCTTTCCTTTCTTTATTTATTTGTTTTTTTTTTTAATATTTATATGCATCTTATTATGATTACCTTTTTTATTTTATTTTAAAATATTGCTTTTACACCCTTCCCCCTTTTTTTATTCTTATATACTTATTTAATTTTCCGTCATGGATTGCCTGGAAGAGATTGCTATTAAGCAATAAGGCCGCCTATTGTGTAATGTCTCTCTGTCAGTGTAATCTTACTGTTATATCCTTTGTGGTGTTATACAGTAAAGAATATTATCATTATCTCAAACATAACAAAAAATGGCAACAGCTCTGGGTGTTAAAGGGTTAAAATAGCTATTAATCTGTTACGGTGTTCGTAAGTATGTGGATAAATGTAATACCTAAATAGAAAATGAAAATGTATGAATTATAAAGACTCCTCTGTTTATAATAATACGAGATAGCGGATTTCCCGCTTGAATGGGAGCGCTCATCTGGAAAAGTAACCCTCACCTTACAGACGATCACACTAAAATAACACCACCTTTTGGTGGTGTTTCTGTTGGTGAGTAAGGTTCGAGGCTCGACGGTAATATTATCTATACAGTATAGTGACTCGGCCCTGTCCTTGAAATAACTGCCTACGGCCGAGCGGGGCGTAAACACGCGGTAGGGCTGCCCGCCCGCCTACAGTATTTTAATTTCATCTACTTAATTGAGTTTCTTTCTAGTTTTGTGATTATAAATGTTTTATTTTACACGTAAAAAAAATGTTTTGTATGAATTAGGAAATGTTCAATAAAATACATTGTTATTTTTAGGTAATATTTAATAAAAAAAACATATAGATTTGGGACAGAAAAATATTTACGCCTCGACTGAGACGTACGAAAAGCATTATTATTAAATTTAAAAGTATAATAAATACGCATTCGTATAAAAAAGTTTTATTAAAAATACATTAGGGAAACATTGGCAAGGAGCAGAAAAGGGAATATCTTTAACTTGGTTATATATACCTGCAGCTACTTTACAATGAACACCGTTAGGTCGTCGCTGCGGCGCATTCGCAACTGGATGCCCACCGGGTGCCGCGCGAACTCGAGTGGCATAGGTATGACATTAGATTAAAACAAAAAGGGTAGATACGGCAATAGCCTCACAAAAGTGATCCGCATGAATTGTGGTCCACGACCCTAATCGCTTTAGTCACAACTTGACATGCAAACGACGTACATGTGAACGCCAAAAAGAAATACTGGTAATATTTTG